AACATGGGTAAATTTTACTGTACATATCTTATCAACATCATCTAGATGATATATGAATTACGGGGAGGGGTGCACGTTAGTAATTTATTTTATCAATTATTATTATTATTAATTATCGTTAATTATTAGTTATGATCGTTATTAATTATCACTTATTAGAATTAAAAATGTACCCGATAGAGCAAGAACTATAAAAATATAAGAATGCAAAGGTTAAAATGCGTACGTGATGTTTACTTAAAAATCCTGAATCGTTCGCAGTAGTTTGTAGTTTTTTTGTTTTTTACAATTTAAAAAAGTTGAAGTAAAAAATTGAAATAAATTGCGAAAGAACATAGCGAAAAAATGGTATTAACAATGAAACATATTGGAACAATTATATTTTTGTAAGAAACATAAGAGTAAGGCAGAGATTTCATCAGCACAAAACTTAATAAAACACATTGCTAAAAGGATTGGTAGGATGTTGTAAGGATGAGTACTGGGTAGAAAGAGTGCGGGTCAAAATCCCGACAAACATAATCCCGACAGGTCATAATCCCGACAGTCGAAGATCCAGACAATTAAAAATCCCAACAGCCAGAATTTTTAGGTAGAAAATTCCCAAGTATGAGATATGTTTAAAGTGAAATAGATTCTTATAATTTAATTAATTTTAGGGTTAGATCGCTTTAAATAATGGTTGGGATAGGGTTTGCTATGGTCTATTATATTTTTTTATCAGAGTTTTTAATTGTCAGAATTTTAACTGTTAGGATTTTTGACTGTCGGGATTTTTAGCTGTCAGGATTTTTTTGTTAGGATTATGACCTGTTGGGATTCTGTTTGTCAGAATTTTGACCCAAACCTGGTAGAAATAGCGTAATGTAGTAGTTAAACAGGTAATACCTATGGCTGCAAGTGTTAAGAAACTTTAGTATGTTGCATAAAACTAGGTCAGTTGTGTGTGAAATATGAAAGGTTCTAGTAAGTTTCCTATTAAGAATAAAGTAGTTCTAAGAGGCTTGAATGCATTGAGTATTTTGAATGAATATAATCTTGAAGATATCATCATGATACAAGTTAAGATTACATATGCAAGAGGTTTAAATAAACAAGACAAGACCTGTAATTAGTTTGCAGGTATGGTATCTAGTATAAAATCTATATAGAAATATATAGACAGATTACTTAAATTAGGTATCAAAAGTACATATATAGTTAGTTGTAATTTCTTATATCTCTGAAAACATTTGTATTCAATAAAAACTTGAATAAAAACATTATTTTCCAAAAACAAGGATTTTAATTTAAAAAAAAAAAGATAAATAATTTTAACAATATAAAATCTATTAAAAAACATATTAAAATATAAAATTTTTTTTTAAACTTAAATAGTCACATTAGTATTTTATTAAGATTCTTGAAATTAATATTACAATTATATAAAAATATCTAACAACTAAGCCTAGCATTATCTAACAATTCTAATAACACCTAAATGCAACTTATTGCATTATTTTAAACAAAAGTAAGCTACTTGTCTGATTACTTAAAGTTCATAATTAAAGAGTCTTTTTCTTTCTATAACAAGTCTCAAAATTGTCTTTCTAGCTTCATCTTTGATTCATTTTTTCTTTTTTTTTGTTTTCTTTTTTCTTTATTCTATTTCTTACTGACTAGCCTTTTTCTTTTTGTTTGGATTCTTTTTCTAAATTTCTTTTTTCATTTTGCTAGTTATTCTTATTTTTTTTCTTATAAATTAATTTTTTATATCATATTCTTCAAACTTGTTTGTAAAAGATATTCTAAGTTGTTTTTGCTAATATATTCATAAATTATTGTTTTGTTCTTATGTTTAGAAGTTGTACTAATATGTCTTGAGTTATTTTTGAAATTAGAATTTTGATTAATGTTTTTTTATTTTTATTTCTTTTACTTCTATTTTTTCAAAGAGCATTGTATATAATATATAAAATGAAACTCTAACTTTTTCTTCTTCTTTTAATTTTTTCTATACTATTGTAATAGATACTTTCTGTATCCTTTTTCAAAGACTTGTTTATTTTTTACATAATACTATATATCTTGTATTTCTTTAACTTTGTCTTAACATACTTGGTATTTTGCAGTTATATATATATTTAAATTTTTTTTATTAAGTTTCTTCAATATCAAAAATTTGTTCAATATATATTTTATAAAAGTACTTCTTTTTGTGCTGCTTCTTTTTGTTATATAATATACTTTTTTAATTGACTTTAGTCTTTTTTAAAAATATATCTAATCATAAATTATTATTTCTATTACTAGTTTTAGATTCTTAATTACTATTGTTTTTTTTCACTCTACACCTAGTTTGTCATTTGTTACTAGTTTATATAAAAGTCTTATTAACATATCTATTTATTTATTTTTCTATTCTAGACAATACTCTATCTCTTTATAACTAATTTCTTCTATATATATTATCATTTTATTTAACATTCCTTTTTTTATAAGACTGTTAGCTTTATTATTCTATTTGTTTTTGCTATAACTTTTTATTTTAAACCACTTTATCTATATGTTTTTTGTTCTAATTAAATTAATTATCTTTACTATTTACAAAATATTTTTCTTCTTGAGAATTTTATTTTGATTTATATATTTTAAATTTTTACTAATGTTCTTAATTGTAACATTATAGTTTATAAATATTTCTAGATTTTTTTCTTTTGGTATTGTCAAAATTGTTGTTTATATTACTAATGACTTAGCTATAGTTGATGTTAGTAATTCTTTTATCTCTAATACTATTTCTTTTTCTAACCAATCTTATGTTTTACTGATTTGCATCTATCTTATACCTATGTTTTTATCTATTATTTCTTTTTTATTCTATCTATTTGTTATATTATCATTATATATTATATATTTGTTTTTGTTTCTTGATACATTCTTTTTTAAAGTTTCTATTATTTCTTGAATAATATTTTCTTTTAGTTTTTGTTTTTACTAATTCTATTTCTAGTTTTCTAGTATTTTAAATTATATTAACTTTTGTTTATTTTTTTCAACTCTTCTGTTTTTGTATATCTTATTAATTAGTCTGTCATTATTATTATTTTTCTTACTTTTGCTAAAGCTAATATCATTGATAGCTATTATCTTTATTTATGTTTTAATTAATATATTATATTAACTTATACAAGATAAATATATAACTAATCACATGTATAATTTTTGGTTATCTATTTTAAATAGTTCATCCAAAAGTTTTACACTAACTGTCATACTTATAATCTACTAAGTAATTATTTATTAAAACACTTTAATCTTTATATTGCATTTAGGTGAATAATACCTAGTTCTTATACAACTAAATATTATCTAACTCAACATTTAACCTCTTTTTTTGTATGTTTGTCAGACTATTATCTGTTTTAGATTATGTTATCTAACTATAAGGTCTGAAATACTCTCTTGTTAACTATCTACTTACTTTATAAAATATTAACAAAACTAATTCTTGTAGATTTTATCTAAATTTTAGTATCTACTTTACAACATCTTCCTAGTAATTTAGTATACTCTACTTTGTTCTCAAACTTTTAATCCAGATAATCCAATAAGACTATAACATATTTTTAGTACATCAAATTAACCTAATATTCTTTTTCTTTAGTTGGGTTTAGTGATCTAATTAGTGATATTTCTCACCTTGAAGTTCTTACCTATTTAGTTCCTCCACATTGGTATTTATTTTCTAGGTCTAGTCTTTACAGTAATATCATCAAAGATCTATGTTACTTCTCTATTCAGATCTTTTCAAATAGAATTCAGTTTTTTCAATTCTATGAATTTACTCAGACATAATAATTTATCCTGAGTTTGCACTGCCTGGTATTAGTTTGCATCCCTCTGTATAACCAAGATTACACAAATACACCATGACCTGCCAGTCATGCTGATGTGATCATAGTTACAGGTATCTTATTCCAACTGATCAACAAAAAAACCATTACCATAATATATAAGTATTATCTAGGTAATTATTCAAATTTTTATTATCAGTGGGTTTTGAATTCACTACCTACTATTTGAAAGGTTGATAACTTATCTATTTCACTAAGTCACACACCTCAGTCTGTTATTGCTTGATTATATTGTTGCAATAACCAATCTGACTAATTGGTTGATCTGAATATGTAGTTACATTATACAAAATTAACTGAATTAGTAGTCAGAAGTAATATCAAGAATAAAATTTTAGATATTTATGATTATTTAAATAAGACCAATAAAGTCATCTAACTATAAAATAACAATTTTTTTATTTACTATACCTTTGAGTTGATTTTTGTTAATTAGAGTAAAGAAAATGATTTATGCTCAGATCGCTGTCAGGAAAGGATTATTAATGTATGTAAAAATGCTTGTCACCTTTTGCATGTGGTATCTGTTTCGTCAGATGCATTTTTATGAATGCCTTCTATGATTTGTTGTCTTTGTTTATTTTATTTTTGTGTAAGGTGTTTAGATGCGTCTTTTATAATTAAATTTTGTTTGGTATGCTTACGAAATAATATTTTGTGTAATGCAAGTTCGTATGAACTTTCTGAAGATACGACCTAACACGTTTAACTTTAATCGAACCAACATTGCGAACTATTTTTAACTCATAGAATCTTTAATCAAACCGTCAAGAAAGTAAGAACCTAAACGAATCGCATGAAAGTGTACATGCGCACTTCAGTATTTTAAAATGTTGAAATTACAGCAGATCAGTATAGTAAAGGCAAAAATTTTAAAAGGAATAAAGCTATACTACGTATACTGATCAGCTATAATTCCTAACTCTAACGTTAATATATATAGCACTGGATCAGTATAGATTCTAAAATTCGGCCTATAATAATAAAAAGTACCAGGTCATTAATAACTAAAAAAAAAAAACTTATGTCTTGAGCAGGGACGTGGGGATCTTGTGATTTTCTGCGATTTTAAGGAATATATATATAGAAATAGGCTTTATAAATATGCATTTCTTGGAAACATCACAAAATCCCTACTTCCCTGGCTCGTATGTACGCCTTTTCCGACAAGAATTTATATTAAACACATTTTGCCAAATCTGCCAATTTTATTAACCAAGACATATATCAGTATCGTTTTAATAGAATACAATATAAATTTTCTAAGCGAATTGCGAGAGATATGTGATTGATTATCTAATCATGTTTAAGTATTGAACATATTTTTCAAGTTTCATAATGATAGTGGGGATAGTGAAAATTATAAAAAGTAGAACAACAAATTCTCTTTTGGTTTTACATTCTATCCTATTTACGACCTTAAGTTATAATCTGCATGAAGGTAAAATATATAATCGAAGATTTAAAAAAAGATTCACTGAATATATAAAAATAAAGATGTACATAGTTAAATATTGAAGAAAAAATGAAACAAGTTTAAACTTATTTCTTTAAAGTCCTTTAGTGAAAAGAAAATTTTCATAAACTTTGTTTATCAAAAGCGTGATCCCGAAATCATAACGTCCGAAAATTGAACTGTTTGATTTTCTGTTTCTTGTACTCCAGCACTACTAGGAAACGGATGCGCGCCTTCGGTTAAAATTTTATATTTTTGTTCGGCAGTAAGGTTATCATAGGATGAACCTACAGAAACATTAAGATTTTGAGGTGGCAAAGGTTGACCTCCAACTGCTTGATTTATAGGTTGTTGATTCATAATAGTAATCTTAAAATTTTTACTAAATGTTTTACCCTAAAGAAAACAAAAAGACGAAAGCATAATTTTGGATAGTTTATATACAAAACAATTATAAGTACATGTATAAAAAATATAATTTATTATTATTATTATTATTATTATTTATTTTATTTAAACTATACAACGTATTAACTGATTTTTTTTTTTTTTTTTATTTAAACTATAACGACTGATTTTTTTTTTTTTCTATTTAAACTATACAACGTATTCATTGTTTTTTTTTTTTTTTTTTTGACCAGTTTGACCATTTGACCAGACCAATTTGACCATTTGACCGGTCTGGTCAAAGAATTTGTAGTGGTCAAATCGGCCAAATAGTATTTTAAATATAATTTATTATATAATAAATAGATTATATTTATATAAATGACTTGACCAATTTGACCAGCAAATTTTTGCTTGACCACTGATTTGCCCAACACTGAATATAATCTATAGCATATATGCTTGTAATTTATCATACAGTAATACAGTAACGATGTATATTAAGTAATAGTTGTGTAATATAAAAAAAAAAAAACAGTTAATACGTTGTATTATAAACGTATTAACTGTTTTTTTTTTTTTTTTATATTACACAACTATTACTTAATATACATCGTTACTGTATTACTGTATGATAAATTACAAGCATATATGCTATAGATTATATTATAGATATAGATATAGATTTTTTTTTTTTTTTTGTAATATAAAGTTTATTTGGCTTAATATAAATAATTATCATTTGTGTAATTGCGAATCTAAAAATTATTTAAGAATGCCAGGTTGAGCCATCATCATTTTCCCCAATTCCGATTATCGGAAAAAAAACACCTTTCTCCTTTTTCTTGCTTGACGTTTAAAAAAAATTTTTTTTTTTGAAAGTTAAGAATAATATTTATTATCCGGCAGCTTACTATGATCGTGCCAACAGAATAATTCGAGTTCTTTGGCGATAATTGCATCATCATCAAATAACTTCGTTATTTGATAATGACGCAATTTTCACCAAAAGAACTCGAATTATTCTGTTGGTTCGGTCGTCGTAAGCCACCGTTATTGAATGCTATGTACGCAGCCAGATAAAATGAATCATTTTGCAAAAAATTCTTCTCTTAAATAATCAATAATAAATTGCATCTCATACTCCACACTTACGTTTTAAATTTTTTTTTTTTTTTGAAAGTTAGGAATAATATTTGTTATTCTTCTCTTTCAATAATCAATAATAAATTGCACCTCATACTCCACGCTTACGTTATCTTAGAAGATATATATAGGGCTTTATATCTCTTCTTCGATTCAAAAAAACGTGATTTAGTTCTCATTGAAGAAAAAAGTATTGTCATAACAACTGAGAGAACAACAAACAACAAAAACGAGACTTTTGTTTCAACGACTATATACAAATGTTTACTAACTCGATTATAACCCTCCACTTAATGAGCTGTATTATAACACACGACCTCATTTAAAAAAAATCTTCATTTATTTGTAAAATTTTTTTTTTTTAAAAAACTTTTATTTAACGATCAAAAAAATTTTTTTTCGTCTTTCAATTTTCAAAAATGAAATAACTATCAATCAACGTTACTGCAACTCAATCTGTTGACTATCTTGGACATACTCATGACTGGTCTGGCACTGATATTATTTACTCAACAAAGAAAGTGCGGTGAAGAACAACAACTCTAAAAAATTCTCGTCCTTCAATTGGTCTTCAACAATGGTAATATTAGCAACAACAAAAATATGAGTCTGCCCTTAATGCTGAAGAAAGACGTTTGATTCGTATGAAGAATGCTCTTTGGAGGCGTATGAGTCCTTCTATCAGTTGTATCGGAAAAGACAACAAACTAGTTTCCCCAAAAACTTTGAAATGGTAAGAAAATATTTACTTGAATTCGATTCCTTTTTTTTCATTATTTCTTTGGTTGGTATTTTTTTGGAGAGGTACAATTGTATTCCGTTTCACAAACTTTGTAACTTGGGCTGAAAAAAAATTGATTTCCATAAAACCTATCAATTTTGTTATTGTATTCTAATTTATGTTATTTTTTTAGGAACTAAAATTGTTGATGGTTTTTCTTTATATAGCTTTATCTCTTTTACATCTTTTTACAAAATGAGCTTATTATATCTATTTTTTGAATTTTATTAGTATTTAATTTGTTAAATATATGAATAACATCATCAAATAAAATTTTTATTAAATTGTTTTTTATTAATATTTTAATTATTTTGTTTTTAAACTTAAGCAGTTATGCTAGTATTTTATTAAGATTGCTTTTGTAATAATATAGATATTTAAGTTTAGCATTACTCAGCTATCCAAATGATATCTAAATGCAATCTTTTGCATTACTTCAAACAGAAGTAAGTTGTTTATCTAATTATTTGAAATTTATAATAAAAAGATTTTTTTTTTTTATAACAAGTTTCAACATTGTTTTTTTAACCTTTTTTTTTTCTTTTTATCTGTGTTTTTTCTTTGTTATTTGTTTATTTACTTTTTTTTTATTTAAATTTTTTTTTGTTAAGCTTGTTGTTAATTTTATTGTTAATGTTTTGTATATTATATAGAATTATATTAATTGTTTTAGTTAGTATTATATATAGTTGACTCTGAATATACCAAACTGCATGTTCTAAAAGGTTTTCTTTAATATAGAGTAAGTTTTTTAATAGATTATTTATTTTATACTAAACAGTTTGGTATATAAAGCTAACTAATGAAATCATGTGTAGAATCATAATAGATTAGTAAATCTTCAGAAATTTTCAAAAAATTTTACTCTAATTTGGAAGTTTTTGGAACAAATATTATATATAAACAAATAGTTTATTATATTGTTAATATCAACCCATTCAGATCATTTTTGTATTCATATTAATAGTGATATTAGTAAGGGATCATATTAAAGTTGCTATATATATATAAATTTTAATATCATTTTAAGATGTAGAAATTTATTTTATTGTTAATATTAATGAAGATCAAGTGTATTTAATAATATAATTTGAAAGTTATCCTATTAATATGTCATTAATTTAAATAGATATATTTTTTTGTATAATGTATCCTTTGCGAAATTGGCATCATTTTATTGTTGTCAGGAAGGGATTATTAATGTATGCAAGTAATTGTGTACAAATTGACAGATTTTTCAAATTGGCCTTTTTATGAATCTCCAGATTTAATAAAATAATAGTAAACTCAGCAGCAATAACTACAAAGCATCCTAAAACTTTAAAATATAATAGAAAAATTTACATCTAACCTTCTTAACTGATTACTTTTTTATATTGTTAGCTTATTATGTAGCTAATTTTAATTCAATATTAATGTGTAATATAGTTATTACTAGGGTTTCTTAACATCAAATCAAATCGAATTTGTTTTGATTTGAATTTGATTTGATGTCAAAAACTTGGATTTATATTTAATTTGAATTTAAATAACAATCATTAAGAAAAATCTTAATTTACAAAAAATTTTATTAAGTTAATCAATCTTGAGCTCTTAAATAAATATGTTCTTCTAATCAAAATACACTTAGTTTATAGAATGGACAAGTCAATTGTTATAATAAAATTTTAAGCAAATAACTCATAAATTAAACATTCAAATATAAATTTTTTTTTTTTTTTTTTTTACCTTCCTTTACTATCCTGAAAGTCCTTAGACACCTTTAGGATCTGTCACATCTCTTAAAGGCCAGAGTTATCATTCTGTGAAGATCATTGGACAGCGTGTGGCCCCTGCATGTTACCAAACTCATAAGATAACTCATGCTTCATCAAGTCCACCATATGACATCCTTGGCCTCATGGTATAAGATCTACTATCCTTTTCAGTCTGCAGTTCTCTAACTTCACATGATCTACTAGTCGAATTGTTCAAATATTTTAAAGTCCTTAATTCTATCATTATATATTCTTAAATCAAACTCTCTCAATGTTAGCATCATTTGTTGATGAATTATGCCTTATCTGGTTATCTCCGACTCTGTGACTATGCTAGTGACTGCATTCTTTTTGTATGAATCTTGTTTTTGCTTTTAAATGAAAGTCCTCTGCAGATCTTTTTTCTAATCATGGTCCTGGCAGAGTTGTTGTTACCCTTTGAACTCGAATTCATGGCCTTGCGATTGAGACCTGGGAGTGCTAACCACTATGCTATCGACCCATGGGTCTCAAATATAATATTTTGAATTTGACTATATTTGAATTTGATTTGATTGAAATTTCTGATATTTGATTTAATTTGAATTCAAATATTTGATTAAATCAAATCAAATCAAAATAAAATTATGGAACTTTAATTATTACTATATAATTTATTATTAATTATATAATGTCCCAACCAATCCAAATTTTAAAGTTCTTTAGAAATTTGACAATTCAAATGCTTCTTTTGTTTGTTATTTATTGTTTTCATTAGATATATTTGTTTGTAATTTCTGTTTTTATCAGAACATTTTTATGAATGTTTTTTATGATTTATTATTTTTGTATAATGACTTGTTTGAGAACAATGTGACAAAATGAAACATTATTGTGAATCACTAGACTATTAAATAATAAAAAAGTAGAAAATTAGTCAAAATAGAATTAGATTGTATTAGTATTTAAGTAATTTGATAATCTATTAATTTTTTTATTTTTCAATATTGTGTTTAGTTATATTACAAAAACAAGTCAAACTATTCTGAAATAATTAGTTTTTATATTGAATAAGACAAAAGAAACACAAAAAATACCTATTAAAGTTAACAGTGAAGTAACTATCTTGTAGTTAGTAAACAACAATATAATAAATTAAAATTACTTATATATATTGGACTTGAAAATAATATATTTAAAATATAAACTTTAGTCAGAAAATAGTAAAGTAAAATTAATAAATCATTTTAAAACATTCTGAAATGAATACAAGAAAAAATCTGAAAAAAATTTAGAAAAATTAAGAAAAAAAAATAGTAGATTAGAACTTTAGTAAAAATTATAAAAGAAAAAATGAATCTCTTTTACAAAAAGGATTTAATAACTAAAATAATATATTTTTCTTTTATATAAAAGTAATTAAAGAAAAGAATTAAAAAAAAATTAGACAAGTTATTATTAAAAGTTTTAAATAAAAGTTTGCAACAGTGAATAACAAAAGTAAATAAAACCAGTATACTTAAAATAAACTTTTTTTAAAAAAACTTAAAAGATTATAAAACTAATATGAATATAATGCAATATACAATACTAGTATCTTACTTCAAAAAACAATACTAAAGAATTTAAAAAAAAGTAATAAAGGTATAAGAATAATTAAGATTAAGAATATTTATTCTAAAAATTTCTAAGAAAGAATATTAAATATAATAGTAAAAATTTTGAAACTAATATTTAATAAGCATAATAAATTTAAAAATTTATTAGTCAAATCAAAAAATAAGTAAAATTAAAAAAAAGTATCTTGCATTATATAATTAAAGAACTTAGTAAACTAAAGAACAAAAATTTTAAAACTAAAATTCAAGAATAAATTATTATAGTTCCTATTTCTATATTATCTATATAATTAATATATATTATTTTTATAGATTTATTAGAACCAGAGTATATTTCTAAATCTAAGCCTAACTTATTAAAACTTAATTGACAAAGTATTAAGTAAGTAGTTTAACTGTTATTATTGTAAAAATACAGATCATATAGTAGTAATTTGTATTTCAAAATTTGTGAAAGGTAAAGAAAACAAGTTTTTTTTAAAACAGAATTAATAATGATAATAGATAACTATATTTAGATAAAAAAAATTAAAAAGAAAAGTAAAAACCTAAAATTAAAAATAATATAAAACAGATCAGTAAAGTTATCAAAAAGATTTACAAACTAGTAATAATAAAATATTGGTTAAAAAAAATAATTCTACTGATGTAATAGCTTATTAGTTAAAAACCAAGTATTTCTATTTTTAAAAGATATATTAAGCTTTGTAAAGAACAAGGTCTCAAAACTCTACAAAATAATAATAAATTAATAAAATTAGCTAAACAAGAAAATTTATTAGAAGAATGTGGCAACTTAGTAAAGTGGTCAGATTGTTAATCCTTCAAGTAATAGGTTGGGTGTTCAAATCCTATTGATAGCAAAAATTTAAATAATCACCTATATAATATTTGTATTATAGCAACTATTACTAATGATTGAGTTAGGATATCTGTAATGGCAATTGCATCAGCATGACTGGCAGATCATGGGGCATCTGTATAAGTATGATGTTATACAGAGAAATGCAAACCAACAAATCGGATGGTTCAAACACTAAATAAGTCCTTGTAACCATGTAAATCTGTTAAAATTAGACAACAAGAAGTCTATTTGGAAAGACTCAACTAAAAAGGTAGCTAGATCTTTAATAGCTCTACTGTAAAGTCTAGCTTAGAGAAACAGATATCAAGGTTATAATACCCAGTCATAGTAGCCAGACAGGCAAAAAACTCTAAGTTGGGAGTTTTGGAATACCACCAACCAAGCCACTAAAACAAATTAAAGAAAAAAGATATTAGGCTGATCCAATATACTGATGGACTGGTTGTAGTCCTATATGGACTATCTGGATTGGGAGTTTGGTAAAAAGGCAAATAAAAAGGTAGGATATACTAAAGTACCAGAATTATATTGTAAAGTATATGCTAAGATCTAAGTAAACTCTACAAGAGCATAGTGGTATAATAGTTAACTCTAACTGCAAGTGTTGGTTCTGTCATAGCAATATCTAGATCAATTGTAAAAATGAGTACAGAAGGCTCTAGAGGGTTTATATTGAAGATAAATTAGTCCTAAGGTTGAGATGATAATCTGGGTATCTAGATATGATCTAGTGAGTTAATACAGATTACAGGTTCAGAGAGTTTAAAGTGAAACACCTAAGCAGAAGTATTAGATATAACAATTGGTGAAGAACCTTCAGGCAAACTCCTTAAATAGGTAATATAGAAAAGTTATATATATAGCCAATTGTATGCTTTTCTATAGTAGTTTATTAAACCACAATACTGATAAGTAATTAATAAAAGTCAAAAGACCAAAGAGGTTACCTTAACATCAAAAAAAAAAAAATTTGTTAGTTAAAAGAAATAAGTGAAATAAAGAATATAAATTTAATAAAATTTTGTTCAGCTTTTTTATTAATAATATTTCTAATTTTTTTGATAATAAAACTAGTCTAAAATATTTTTGTCTAATAATAGATTTGAGAAGATTAAATAAGCAAATATTAAAAAATTTATTTTGGTTTAAAGAACTAAGTAACTTGTTAAGGCTAGTAGCAAACAATTAGTTTATAATTATATTAGATCTAAAAAATGAATATTATTATATAATAATAAGTAAAAAAATTTAATGTTTTTTGAAATTCTAAACAGAAAGAATCTAACATTAGTACTAAGTACTATTGTTTAACCTGTTATATATCATATGTATTTTTTAAAAAAATAATACAAATACTAATTATTTACTAGAAAATAAAAAATATAGTCTTAGGTTTATATATAAATAATATATAAATAATGTACTTTTTGGCAATAATATTAGAAAAATTTTAGATTAAATAATTTTGTTAAACTTGAAAAATTACAGCTTAAATTTGGTCTGCAATTCAATATTATTAAAAAGAATAAAGTTTTATAAACTATTTATAGATATAAAAAAAGCTTAAATAATCATATCAAAGTCAAAGTTAGATATAACAAAGAATTATTTATAATTATTATCAAAAATAAATTAGATAAGAGTCAAGCAATTATCAAGAGTTATAAAAAAATTCAAAATCTTATAAGAATCTTTATCTCAATACAGATAAAATATTTGAAATTTTATTTTTTTATAGATATGCCAAATAAGTAGTTCTAAAAATAAAACAAAAAATTTGTTTATTAAATTAGACAAGAATAAACTTATATTGGTTATTAGAAAATTTAAAAAAATATAATAACTGTCTAGTCTAAAGACTTGCATTAATAAAATATCTATTTATAAATGCTTTTATAACTAGCTAATATATAAAACTAGAAATATTAATAGCATTTAAAAATTGAATAAAAAGATTAAATTATCAAAAAATAATAAAATTAGAAATAAAATTAGTTCTATTAGGACTCAAAAGTTTTATAAATCTACTAAAAAGATTCTAGATCTTAATATTTATAAATAATCACACAACTTTAATAATAATAAGATTAAGTAACAAAAATTTTATCAAAAAAAAACTTATAGAAAGCTATAAAAATTTAGTTAAAAAAGATATTTAGATTTTTAAATTGAGATAAATGATATTAGTCAAAAATTCAGCAAATATTTGGACCAAGTTTTCAATTTGTCAAATTGATATATCAAAAAAAAAGAAATTCTAGAAAATAAAAATAATCTTTAGACTACACTTGATTAATCAAATAACATTTTATATAAATTCAAATTTATAAAAATTTAACAGTTATTCCTTTTGTTTAATAATAAAAGCTATAAATTATTTTATATCAAGATAAAAAAACAATAAAACTATATGTTTTTATTTTTGTATCTAGTATAAAAAGTACACTGTTATATTAGAAGTTACAAAACAAGAATAATAGTAGTAATTCCAGAATAGTTATCAACTGTGTAATGGTCTTTATTTCTGAAGTTAAGCTAGAAAGCTTTATTTATATTAAAACTAAAAATTACATTTATATTAGACCTAATGGAGTTTGTAAAACCTTTAAAAAATCCAAAATAAAAGTTTTTGATAATGTATATTTAATTATAAAAAAGTTACTTCAAAGAACAAAGAAATACTAAACCCTCTATAAAAAATTCTGTAAAAGATTCAGAGTAAATAAAGAAAATTTATAAGAAAATGATATTTTTACATTTATTATATATATGAATATAATAAGGTTAGTATTTTAAATTTTCTAGACATTTTAAGTAATTGTAAATAAACTATATTTTAAAAAAATAAAAAATCTCAGAAAATTATTAATAGTACCACAGATTTTAAAAGCAATAAAAAAGAAAGTCTCAAAAAATATGACATCAAAATGATTACAAAATCTACTACTAATCACAACATTGAAATATTATATGAATATACTACTATTCTATATAAATAGATCAATGTATAGAAAAAACATTGCATTAGTAATATTGAAACTAAGAACAATACAAAGGTTAGAAGAATTGTAAAAATTAATTTTAAGATATAAAGTAAAATAATAAAAGAACTCTGTAAGTCCAAATCTGCAAATTGAAGAACAATTAATTTAGAAATGTCAAGTTCATTTCAGTAAAAAATACAAGACCAAGATATTACACAGTTAGACTTTTAAAACAGTATTTAGAAATTCAACCAATAACAAACCCAGAAACACCTTTATTCTCATCAAGACAGTGAAAGAAAGTCTCAATGATAGCAATCAGATCAATAGTAAAGTGATTCACCGAACATGCAAATATAAGTGGCAGTTTACAGCATATTTATTAAAAATTGGTAAGGCAACAGTTGCAATAACAGCAGGAATAAGTCTTGTACAAATCCAGACAATTGGAGGCTAAGATTCAAAACAGTAATGCTGTAACTAAGAATGATGTCAACAGCAAAGTTGAGAACTTTTAGCTATATAGGATTTTTTTTTAAAAAAAAAACAAAAAAAAAATATATATATATATTAAATAAATAAAATAAATAAAAAGGTAAGAAGGGAAATGGAAGGCACGTAACCATGGTACAGATCACAGAAAAAAAAACGGATGTAGGAATGTAAATAATGATAAGGCACGCAGCCTGAAACAAATTGAAAAAATAAGTTTGAGACAAACTGGGCACGCAGCCCAAAATAAATTAGAATAAGTAAGTAAAGGCATAAATTGAGCATGTAAAAAAAAAAAAAAAAACAGGAGGGCACGTAGTCCGTACTATCCAGAAAATTGGAAGCCGGAGTAAAGGGTGCAACCCATGGTAATTGATAAATTGAGGTTCGAAGTAAGGCACGCAGCCTGTATGTATTAGGCAGCACGTGTACTAACGATTGGGACCCGCATATCGTTTCCTTGTGCGATCCTCGCCAACAATCCCATACTGTACTTCGTGTTAAGCTCAGGTGTATTGTTGGCCATGGAATTTGTTCTCTTAGCAGAGGGAATAGGTTCCAAGACGAACAATAATAATGAGTTTAAATGCGTCTTTTATAATCAAATTTCGTTTGTTATGCTTATGAAATAATATTTTGTGTAATGCAGATTCGTATGAACTTCCTGAATAAAAATTGGTTCAGATTTTAGAGCATCAAAAAAATTTGTGAAGAATCATTTCAAGATTTGGACAAAAAAATAAAAACCACGCGAATAAACAGCACATATGTATAAATAATATTTTAAAGAATATTTTTTATCACGTAATTAAAAACAGGGGATGATTATGATCCTAAATGTATTCAATCCAAGATTTAATTATTCGGACATTAATCATCATCTGTTTTAGATCGGTGAAAAAATGGTCAAATTGTTTTTTACCATCCCTAATACGACTAATACGTTTGACTTCAATTACGAACTATTTTTAACTCAGAGAAACTTTAATCGTAATTACTATAAAACCCAACCGTGTACATGCGCGTTTCCGTATTTTAAAATGTTCTATATAGTTCTCATATCTTTTAGGAATTGTATATATTTTTTGTATGTCAAATAAGAAATTAAAAAAAATTAAAATATTCAATGAATTTAATTTTATCAGGCAATACTTTTAATGTTAAACATTTACTATTAATACATCGACTAGAATTTATTTTGCCAAATCTACCAACTTTATTAATCGAGATATGTTTTAGTATCGTTTTTTTAATAAATACATTATAATCATCCTTGCAGAAACATTTGCCCATCTCTAGTCCGTATTTTAAGCCTCACAGTGATAGTGGAACGTTTAAAGAAATAATAAAAAGTTTATAAAAAAGTTAAATAAAAAATTTTATCTTTGTTTTACATTCTTTTCTATTTACAATCTTAGATTATAATCTGCATAAAAATAAAAAAAATCAACTGCATAAATAAAAGTAAATATACATATATAGTTAAAAAAAGGGAAACGTGAATGAACTTATTTTTTTAAAATACTTGAGTGAAAAAATCTGATAATTTAGCTTATCCAGAGTGTGATCCCAAAAAAAATAAAGTTCTGGAAGAACTGTTTGATTTTCTGTTTCTTGTACTCTGACATTAGTAAACGGATTTGTTGTCCCTTTCATGTTTTTGTTCGATAGTAAGATTCTTAAAAGATAAATTTACAAGAATATTTGCGTTTTGAGATGTCAAAGGCTGACCTCCAGCTGCTTGATTTATAGGTTGATAGGTTGATTTGTAATAAAAAGTCTAAATTTTTATTGAAGGGTTTTTTCTTAAAAAAACATAAAAAATGAACTGAAAATTTGGGATTTTTATAAATGATGGAGCAATCATAATAATTATATTGGTTCTACAATAAAAGGTGGTTAATAAAAAATTAGGCTTATAATACTAGTAATGTCTAATAAAAATGAACATCTGCCTAAAGACCAGTTCAAAATGCTCTCTTTGAATCGTACCCTCCTCTTCACACGATACCCTCCAGGAAGTTTTGATTTACACCGGTATGCTGAATGCAGCGCTCTACAGTAGATATGTAAATAATATTGTAAATATGTATTGAAAGCGACGATTAATAAGCAAAGGAAATTCATTTGTATAAGGCCAACTTGTTCGAAGCTCATATTCAATTTGTAGTACAATATAAGTAAATTTTCGATATTACCACCAAGATCAGTTACATATTCTGTATTCAAAATTTTGATTATCGAATTCTGACTATTTAGTATCGAATGCATAACCAAGTAAAAAATGATTCAATAAATCTAATTGATAGGGTTTATTATTTACAGAAATCCTATTTACGACCTTAAGTTATAATCTGCATAAAGGTAAAATATATAATCGAAGACTTAAAAAAGATTCACTGAACATATAAAAATAAAGATGTACATAGTTAAAGATTGAAGAAAAAGTGAACCAAGTTTAAACTTATTCTTTTAAGAGTTCTTTAGTAAAAAAAAATTTCATAGATTTTGCTTATCAAAAGCGTGATCCCGAAATCATAACGTCCGAAAATTGAACTGTTTGATTTTCTGTTTCTTGTGCCCCAGCACTACTAGGAAACGGATGCGCACCTTCAGTTAAAATTTCATATTTTTGTTCTGTAGTAAGGTTATCGTAGGATGATCTTACAGAAACATTAGTATTTTGAGGTGGCAAAGGTTGACCTCCAACTGCTTGATTTATAGGTTGTTGATTCATAATAGCAATCTTAAAATTTTTATTGAAGGTTTTGCCCTAAAGAAAAAAAAAGATGAAAGCAAGATTTTGGATTTTTATAGTTTTATCAGATGGTGAATGTAAAAAAATTATATAAAAAATGTATAAAAATGTATATAGTAATTATACAGTATATGTATAAAAAATATAAAATTATATAAAAAATGTATAAAAATGTATATACAGTAATTATACAGTATATGTATAAAAACTATAAAAATATACCGTACAGCGCTGCATACAGTACCCACCTGGAGTAGTATCCCTTCTTTTTTTGACAAGCGATTTGTGAGTATCCTAATGATCTCCAAAAAGGGTACAAATTTGAAATTTAGTAATATTTCCGGTATGGATTAACAGTATAAGACGTATTACCAGGAAGTATAGGTCGTACGTTCGAGACTGGCTAGGGTGAGCTTTCTGCTAGGATCCGAGTCTTGTAAGGCCCTTGGTTGAAGTACTGGAAATAGAATTTTTTTTTATTTCTCTTCGAACAATCTAATTTTCTTAATTATAGTGCGATCTTTTCATAGGGTTTGATATGTCTAATAGCAAGGTATATATTGATCAGTAACAATTATTTGTATAATCCTCCAATCTTCCTAAGTACCAATTACTTGCAATTACCCGGCATAAAAGGATGTTTGATTAAAAACTTCGCATAATATTAGAAACCTCGCATGCATATTACAGCAGAGACAGTGCCCGATCCAAAGTGAATCCCTCTCGCCTGTGATCAATCACAAATTAAATTATTTATGTTGGATTCAATTGTGATGGATATAATCCCTCACCAGTTTTAATATACGTGTAACATTAACGGTCTCTGCTGTACATGCATATACGTTTGTATGTATAGTTTCCTCCGAAAGTTTGTTTAAGTCAATATGTAAGAAGGTAACAGTACACCATTAATATAAAAATAAAGGATTTTTCAAATTCGTGTAATGCGGATCATTTCTTCTTTTGGTAAAAGATCTTCAATTGGAAAATTCTTTTTTAATTCTATGGTACAAAATTTGCGCCAATCATTGGCTGGGCACACAACCGCCTTTTAAACCCTCTAGATTACATATTTCATAGAATAACTTTTACAAGAATATTTTAAAGGTTTTTTTAAAACTGATTGTTATTTTTAGATAATAAAAAATGTTTTATAATAATCTCTTAGTATATTGCAGATCATTTCTAAATCGCGTAAAATACCTGACTGTAATATAAATAAAGAATATAGTGAAGCCACCGGATTTTAGTAGCGATATTTTTTAGCAAAATAGCTAGCAACATTGAGCTAAGATGCGAAATTTACCACTTTTGCACTAAACATGTGATTATTACTTTTGTTCTTGAACTTTGTAAAAAGAAGTTAATACAATGGCATAAAATAAATAAACATTGATTTATACAAACTAGTAATTATACGTATATTTTAGATGATGACCGAAGAACTCATTTACTAGCTAATTTTGCCAGCTAGGTTTACTTTTAACGACCGGTGGCCCAGATTGCTAAGTACATCATATTTGAAAATTTCTTTATAAACAATTGTTTTTTCCTTTCAATCTTTACTTTTTCAACTCGTTTTCTTTTGCCGCATAATCGACTTTAGATATTTATTTCGCCTATTCATCTAAAATATTTCTTTGCTCATTGATAATTAAAATTAAAATATAAAAAATATATGATATTTAAATAGTTTTTTAAAAAAATAAAAAAAATTCTACTAAATAATCATCTAGTTTCTCTCAACAAAAATATGTAATTAATTTGCTATAAATTCTAAACTGGAATGTATAGAGAATGGTTGCTAAACATTATTCCCTAAATTGTTTTAAAAATTTAGCTACAGTATTTATCACAATGCAAGGCACATTCTACTACTCTTCTGAGGAAGTTTCAACAAACTATGATCAATACTATCAATTTGAAAAATATTCTCAACATCAAGATTCACATTTGACACGTTATGGTCAACAGATCGAGACATCTCCTTCGCATTCACCTTTATGCTCTTTATGCCCTTATTTTCATGCACCACAACAATTTGAAATGTCCACTCAAGCTCCTGTTTCTTTAAAATCGTCGTCTCAATTATTTGTACCAACAAATTTATCAAATTTATCAAATTCATCATCATATGACTATCAAATGTTAAATTACGCAAATAATCAATTTACAAATCCAAATATGCAATTACCATTGACACCTTTTCGCTCTCTCAAGCGTTTTAATTCTTCGCTATTTATAAAGAAATCTGATGGAACGAGAACGAATATATTGAATGATGATGATTCTTTAGGTGTTGATGATAACTTATCATCTGGAACTCAATCGTCTATTTCCCGATACTTGACCAAGGGCTGTTTTCACTGTTACAATCATATAGGCATCATATGGCATTAGGTTTTCCGCCGGCTGACACAATTGTAGCAAAGACACAAAAGTATGTATGTAACTATTCGAAATGTGGTAAAAGCTTTTCAACGAGGTTGGTATTTTATTAATAAAATCTTGTTTTTATTTATTTAATTTTTTTTTGATATTTACTTATTTCTAACAATACATTTTCAGCATTAATAATAATAATAATAATAATTCATATAGTGGTCATTTAGCACACCATAATAAAATCCATACAGGAGAAAAGAATTTTTCTTGCAAAATGCCAGGTTGTCCATCGAAGTTTTTGCGACATGATAACATGATGCAGCACTATAGAACACATCTCTCAAAGAGTAATATATTTTTTTTCAATCAGCAATGTATTGATGTAACTAGATTTCTACATTATAAGTTAAAGGGTGATTTTATCGTTTATTTCGCTCAAGATTTTGTTATTTTTATTTATTTAATAAAAATATTTAAAATTAAGAATATAATTCATTATCTTCGGGATATTAGTTGTGTACACAAA